CGTCCGGCCCTTGCCGGCCGGCCGGCTACTACTCTCGACCAATCCAACATCAACTGACATAAACTGACATGACGTGAACATAAATGCTGAAATAACTTAAAACATGAATTTTGCACGAAACGTTGGACTCGGCCGCGGTGGGCGCACCGTGCGCCGCCGACGGCGTTAAGCCGTTTCACGACCAAACTGACTTTTCTCTCGGCAATTCAAACTCAACTGAACATGAAACATAATTTACTGAATAATTGGACATGAGGTACTCGAAGAACTTACTACTTAAAAACAATCAATACTACGTACGGCCCGTGGTACGCGCTACGTGCGCGACCACGCCCCTCGACCGAATTACCTAACAAACATGAACGTACTTCGAACAAATCAATCTGACTGAACATGATATCGCATAAAAGGCTGATTACATGACCACTACTCGAGAGATTTCAACTTAAAAACATGAACACACTCGCTATACACCCGCACGGCCGAACGGCTTAAAGCCGTGCCATGAACGTGAACAAATCGGAAATAACATAACTTTAACATGAACAAATAAAGGTAAACTGAAGTTACCTTCCTGAACCCTTGACTGATCGCACTAACTACTCGGCTTAACTGGAGCCTCTTGTGCGGGCGTACGATTACTTCGTGCGGTACTCTCGTGTGCGCCGTGCGGTAAGCTAGCTTGTGCGTGAACTCTCCCTCACTTTCTCACCTCCTCTCTACTTTAACTCAGTATGAATTATACTTAGTATATGCTTAATTTGTTGAGGAAAAATCATCCCAACAATTAGCATATATATGAGGCCGAAACTTGAGGAGTAAAGAGGTGGGAAAAATTATGCTTAAGAGGTGACCAATGAAAGAGCACCATTTGCCATGACATAAGGCTTAAATGAACACAAAATGGCTTAGTCATCATAAGCACCTCATTAGTCATCACTAATGCCTCCACTGATAGCCACCTCAAGCTTGATTTGCATGATAAATTCCACATGAACTTTCCAAATTGCTTACGGAAAATAATGGAATTATTTGACATGATTAATGGCTTTAAGCTTGCATGCTTATTTGCCATGCATTTTTCCAAAGTTCCTTACGGCATTAAGGAATTTGGCATGATAAATTCCTTAATTAAACTTAACTTAATGGATAATACAAGATTTATTTAAACTTGGTACTTAATTACCTAGATTATTCCGAAAGTAAACACGACTTCGAAAATAATTTCGAAGAATCTTGACTGGAATAATTAGTTCCGAACATAAACGTAATATTCAAAAATTAATTCGAATATTCATGATTTGGACGATTAATTCGAATATTGGCATTTCAGATAATTTGTCAACTTAACTAATTAATTCTGAATTCATTAATTAATGAAACCAATCGGAATTAAATCTGGAAACTTATTCGGTTACTGAAATAATTAAACCGAATAATTTATCGACTAATAGTCGAACTTAGAATATAACTGGCTGATTAACCTGAACTTGAACATGAACATGATTATTTATTAATAAAGGCTAGCTTAAAACTAAAAGCTAATACTTTCCTTTATTAATAAAACTCGGGGTGTAACAAAATTGCTACTTATAGAAAGTAATAAATGCTAAAACATTTTGACTAAAGGTTTGACTTTCTATTAATAAAAAAGGTTATTCTTTTTATATATTTATATATTTCATACGAGGAAAATTTCAATTTCGGTTGCAAAATTTGTCCTACCCTGTGGAATTTTAGTTCTTAAGTTTTTTTCGTTGGGAAAGTAGTCAAAATTAAAAGAATGTCACACGCGAGTCACGTGCTGTTGGTTGTTAAATTGAAAATGAGGAAATTGTAAATGTAGTTCCATAAGATTGGCCGTGTTGCAAATTTGGTCTCAAATATTGCAAAAATAGTTTCTATTTCTTTTTTTGCAATTTTTATGTCTTGAGTATATAACAATTTTTTATAGTAAAAATTTAGTTTTGAGAACAAAAAAATGATAATTACTAATATTCTATATTTCAAATTATTTTTAACTAAATAATAAATATATTTTACAAAAATTATTTAATTTTATTATAATTATAGTGGTTGAAAAGAAAAATATAACTCAAAAAATAAAATAAAAAATTTATATCACCTACTATTATTTTGAAAAATGGGTCAAAATGTCTGTTGAATCGAGAATCGGCCAACTACACGGTTGGATTCCTTTGTACAAACTAGTTTCCAATGAATCGGAC